CACATCCCCTACACACTCCACTCCCTGTGAGCAAACTCATGGGTGAGTGGAACATATAAGTGGACTTATGAGTGGGCCTTGTGGGCATACTCACCGTCAGGCCCTGGGGCCCAGACCTTGAGCTGTGTAAGGGGCCCCCCAAAAAATGGAGCTGCTTCCAATTCTCCCAGAACATTGAATTTTGTGACCATAGTTGCAAACAGCCTCCAGAGATCCTGTTCTACACCAGACCAGTGGTGCCAAACTGCAGCCCATCATCATCCTCATCTTGTTGTAAGTAGGCAATCTAGTATATTATTAGTGACACTAATCTATAATTTACCTCACATTAAAGGGACACTATAGTCCCCAGAACGACTGCAGCTTAATGAAGTGGTTCTGGTGTCTATAGCAAGTCCCTGCAGGCTTTTTAATGTAAACACACACTGTGGGCAGCACTGGCGTTAGTTCGTATGGCAGCTCATATAGGTGGGGCATTGTGATGTCACATGGGGGGCGGCAAATACAACTGTTCCCCATGCAGCTACAGGTGCCGCTGTGCTGGGAGAATGTGATTACTTTTCACTTCCTCCCAGCCTACAGAGCAGCGCATGGGAGAGAGAGAGGAGGAGGCATGATTTAATCTTACAACAAATCCAGTAAGCAAATCTTTATAAATTTGGGGGGATCAGCTCTGTTTCCACAGTTTATTGGTGTTTACTCTGATGTCTGTATTAATATTGAAGGATTTCTAAGGAGTAACATCAGTGTGTGTCAGCAGGGCCAGCCGTTGGGGTGTGCACGCTGTGCGGTCACGCAGGGTGCCATCACAACAGAGGCGCCCGGCGGACAACACAGCTCACAAATTGGGGACACCAGCTTATTCAATTTAAATGATTCGCTGGTGGTCCACTGGTGCGCACCAGCAGTAGGTGCAGTCAGATTATAGCCTCTCCCTCGTGGTTCCGGCGCTCAGTTAGTGAGTCAGAGCACAGGCTCAGAGATTCTCAGCCTGCGCTCTGACAACATTGAAAGTCAGAGCCGTGAAGGAGCGGATATGGCAAAGAGCTTATAAAACCAGGAAAAGGTGGGCACCATTGCACTGATTTGGTGGTGCAATGGGCCACTTGACTGGTTTTGCCCCCCAGGCCTAAGGCTGCCAGCCCTCCCCTGGCCACTGACACAAATCACGTAACCTGCCAAAAGGGGCGAACATGCCCAAAAAGAGGACATGTCTGCCCAAAGAATTAGAAGGCCAGCCTGGCATGAATGCATATCAGGCTGCCTGCCAATCATGCAGCTGGCCAACTAAGGGCATACTATGCAGACAGCACCCTGAGCTTAGCATCTAATGATGCACTCACTCAACGCTTTCTAAGGACTGTCCCCTAGCACTCGCTGGTCCACTTGTCTCCTTACCATCTTACTAGCAGGCAGAAGCTCCT